ATTAGTGGCCCGAGTAGCTGCGCATCATTTGCCAGCGCACACAGATAAGTGAAATCAATCTTGAAACCTGTTTCAAAGCCCTGTAGTGGCACAATACTTCAAATCTGTCCCTCATCCATTCCAAATTTAATGGTGCTCCTGGAAGCTCCTGCATAGACCGTCCAAGCAGCGCTGTCAGCGGCAGAACTGCATCGCATTGACAGCTCTCTATCTGCCTAGTATTTCCAAGGCACTTGGTTGATAAGTATCTAGTGGTATGTTGAGGTGTGTCATATATCGTGGGCACTGTTACTAAATATTTGTACAGATTAAGACTGGGAGTCCCTCAGCAAAAGGCGCCAATCGGTACCCTCGTCACCACTTTAGTCAAACGCTTGCTCGGCGAACTCAATCCATTTATTCATTCTCGGTCGAACCAATCGCACACAATAAAATCGAGGGTCAGGGCTGCCATTAGGTAATAACTCCCTGCGACGAAGTTATCGAAATCCTATCTTGCGCGTGTTGAGGGGATCAACGTTCATATTTCCGCTTTCGCGGGCCGACTCACAACTTACAAACTAAGTTATTCGCGCTGGCGCCCATAAAGGACGTGAGGCGGCAACTGAAGGGCCATAGAGGTTGGTAACTGTTCCTGCCCCTACCATTGGGGGAAATAGTCGAAACGAGGGGAGAGCTCCAGCAAAGCTCAGTCGCTTCCCAGTGGCAGCAAGCCTAGATCATTGAAGATGAAAACCTCTATGATTCCTGTTCTTGTCAACGTCCAGTTTGCCGGCAGTCATTCGAGCCTGCTGTCAGACGACATGGATACTATGCTAAGCGAGGACGCCGCCTTCTTCATCAATCCGTTGCTGTGCCCGAGGTAAGCCTATCTGTTCTCATCATAATTAATCCACAAACTTTTATCCTGATTTGAACAGACGCCAAGTTAGCGAGCCTAGGCTTGCCCCAACTTGAAGTTGAGTTTGTGTACTAGCCAAGTGCACCCTCACATGACCCGTGAGTTAAGCTACTCCTAATCGAGAGTGACAAGCGTCTACTGAAGCGCCAGATGCGGCGGCCTATCTTTGTGCATAGTTGGGCAGCTTACACGTAAACAGAAGGGAAGTTCATCTAGTAAAATCGTTCAAACACCAAGAACGTACGTATGCCATTCTATACGCGAATAATTTGAGCCAGCCATAGCACAGACTTTGAGAAGTTGAAAACTCAGTCGGTAGGACCGCAATCTTACAAAAAGAAAGTTATGAGCATCGCAGAGATTATCACTCATCTTCACTCATTCCGAGAGGTTCCTTTCAAGGATATTTCGCCTACCTCGGCAGGAGTCATGGACCCGAGAAAGATTGCAACTGATTGTGAGATACCTGCTCATCGATAAGATGGAAATGCCGTACACGATACATGGAAGTACTCGCTTCGAGTCGCTTATGGATTCGTTTGCAACGTTTTGCTCATTTGCGTCTTCTTGCGCTTACCTGATGTTCGCTAGAATATGATCGTATTAGAGAGCTTCTCACATGACCTGTGATCCGCGGTCACCAGATAGTTAAACAAGTCGGTACGTGAAGCGCAAATTCGGGAGCTGCAAGTTCCGCCGTGCAGCTAGTTGTTTTTGTCATTGGAGTTGGAGAGCCCGGATGATAAGAGATCACAGAGCCTGAGCAAGGCATCTGAAGCTTGATAGAATAACTCATCGCGCGGAATGTAATCATTCACAGAATTAATTAGTGAACATCGTCAGTTGTTAGGCTTACTTGCCCAGTCCTCTCGCACTAGTCGAAACATCATGATTCATGAACGATGTGCTCTGAAGTTGACTTTCAGGCTCAAACGCCAATTGAATCCCCGAAGTTATTTAAATCAATCAGGCTGATTCAATAGGCATTATCCTTGACAACGGTCGAATTCATGCTCTTTTTAACCAGTACCATCATTACTTCCATAACACTTCGCAGATTTATCCCGGCGGCATCTTCTTTTCGCGTCCCTTCATTGTCTCCGATCTATAGTGGCTTCTCTCAATCATTCATGTCTTCAGTCTCCGTTACAGAATCAGCAGATTGCCTCCAAGTCCAAGGACATGTCCAATATGATACCCCAGATCATATCACCCCGTCAAATGTCCACACATCTCCCCTAGAGCAATTTCATATCTGGTTCAACCAAGCTCGCGAGGCCAATGTCCGCGAACCTGATGCTATGACTCTCTCCACAGCAACGGCATCGAGTATACCTTCTTCACGCATGGTACTCTTCAAGCAGCTAGACAAGCGGGGCTTTGTTTTCTATACTAACTATACATCTCGCAAGTCTCGAGAACTGGAAGAGAACCCTCAAGCTGCCCTGCTTTTCTTCTGGCGTGAGATGTCCAGGCAGGTGAGGGTACTTGGCAGGGTCGAGAAGTTGTCGAAAGAAGAGAGCGGAGAGTACTTCAAATCCCGCCCTGTCGGCACCCGTTTGGGTGCGTGGGCAAGCCATCAGAGCAGCGTCATCGGGGAAGATGACCTAGTCAACCGATTGACGGAGGTCCAGGAACGATTTGGAGTACAGGCATCTGACAAAGAAGGCGATGTCCCATTACCTGACTTCTGGGGTGGATGGAGAGTAATCCCCAGGTAGGTTTCTCCATATTCTTGACTACAATCAATCTTATGCGTTGAAATTACACAGCGAAGTTGAATTTTGGCTTGGAAAGCCTTCACGGCTTCATGACCGTGTCCGATATCTTCGTGTGGAAGGCTCGCCCGACAACCAACCGCAGTGGACGATAGATAGATTGTCCCCGTAATCTCCAACATGAGGACAATACTCTGGACCGATACCTCGCATGAATAGCAAATATGAATTCATCACAAATTCCAAGCATCACGGCGAGCTGCGCATTGCGGCCTCTTCAGATGGAATTCGAAATTACTTTCTGACATCATATTTTTAAACAGAAACCTATCGGGACTTTTAACTGAGCCCAGAATAAGCAACAAACTTGTCAGAAATTTCAGTACCAATACGACTGACAAATACGCGCAGGAGAACGCGCCCAGGTAACTCCACTTGGTTGGATCATGAGGCCACTTGCGAGAATAACGAGGTTCTAAAGCTCACGGTGGGATAGGCCAGACTATGACTGTAATGAGACTGTTGCGACGCCATGCTTTGTCTGCACGACCTATCAGAGCATGGCAAAAACATCAGGTGATCTTGAGATCATTGTCGATAACTGATAAATCAGATCCGCGGGGCTGAATCCATTCCTTGACCGTTCAATCCGGATTCTCAGTGAACTCGACACCGGTGTTCTATCAGTATTCGACGAGGGTGTATAATTACCCACACAATATCGAGCTAGTGACCCACGATGAGTTAATCGCGTGCAATTCGGATTGGACCCAACTTCGGGCAGTCGGTCATGATAGTGAAGTACATGTCAGGAATTAATTGCCAATCAATAGAGTTTCATTGATATGGAATACTATACAACTTTGTAGACACGGCGCTTAGGGACATGAGACTCTTATTTATCCGATGGCCTGATTGGTTCGACGCGCGGGACCTTCTCGAAATGAGCGGTATGTGCGAGAAGTATAGTAGGAGATGACCCATCGCCCTGCGAGATGACGCGTCAGTTTGGTATATACGACTGAGATTGGCACTGCGCACAATCATGGAGGTAGGGAACCCCGGATCAAACGGGATGATGCTTTCCAAATACCTGATCTGTTCCGGGGACAATGATATATCAAGTGCCTCGAGGTTCCCATGCAGTTGTTCGACTTTGCGCCCTCCAACTAGGGGGAAAACGTACGGCATTTTCTGCATAAGGTATGCGATGGCCACTGCATTCCCCGTTATTGATGTATTTTTATGATAGGTATAATGAAACTTACCGGCGGTGATGTGACTGGCGCCAACATCCTTTGCTACCTTCTCTAACGCATGGGACACCTTCTTTTCATTCTCAGTACGTTCCCAACCTGCGGTAAACATCTCCCTCCCCTTCTCTCCCGTTTCGCGGCGCCTCTGCTCCTCTTCGTCTGTGCGGAATTTACCGCCGGCGAGAACATTCCAGGGCGCGAGCGCCATACCTATTGAATAGGACAACTAATTAAATAGGACTTCTCAGGCCACAATTCCGCGGCTGTACCTTCAGCGCGGACCATTGGAATGATGTCGCGCTCAAATGAGCGCTCCAAAATGTTCCACATGCCTTGATAAATCACGAAAGGAGTTTTCCCGTAATCACGAGCGTATTGATTTGCCTTGGACACGATCCAGGCGGGTGTATCAGAGATACCCTGATACAGTGACATTTAATAACTCAATGACGTGACAGGGGCTTTTGATATGCGTTACCAGGTAGAGAACTTTGCCCTGTTGGACAAGGACATGCAATCCGTTCATGACTTCCTCAACACTGGTGTCGAAGTCCCACCAGTGAAGATATAAGATGTCGATGTAAGATGTTCGGAGTTTCTGCAGGCTCGCATCCACGCTGAGACGCATCGACTTGACGTTGTTTCCGGTGAAGTTAACCTTCTGTGCTTCATTTGAGCCTCGTTTGAAATTGGTAGTGTACTGTTCAAAAGGTAATCCTCAGCTCAAGAAAACTGTGTCGTAAAGCGTTGGGAGCAACAGACTTTGGTAGCAATGACAAGCTGGTCACGAATGCCACGCTTTTCAGCCCACTCGCCGATGATCTCCTCTGAGCTTTCGTCTTGGCTATTATGGCATTCCACTTAGGGGGGTTCACAGCCCAGCACTACGGTACTCACTAGTTGTTCGCAGTATCGATAAAATTCCCGCCTGCGTCAAAATACGTGTCCAGTAATTTCACTGAGGACTGCTTGTCCATTGCACCCATTCCGTACTGGTGCCATTTGTCCCCAATGGACATGGCTCCTAACGCGAGTGGAGAAACGTGCACACCCGCAGTGGGGGCCAGTGTGCGATAGATGCCGAGCTTGGTGGGCGGTTTGGGGGCAAGTTGATAGATACTCATGGTGGCAACGAAGAGAAATTGTCAACCCCCTGTCCTAGAGCTCCTAATTAACTTATCCTCGCAGGCGTCGATGACGCCCATCATGCATCATGACGATCAAGACAAATTTCCATTTATAGACAATCAAGTTAATGCAAGTCCGGCCAACCAACCACAATGAACGGTAAGTACTGTGGACAACTGTACTTCAAATGAAAACCGAAGATCAAGTATATAACAGCAGAGACAGAGGAAGCAAGACGATGAGACGAAAGTTCCATAGTGTAACCCAATAATTCATCAAACTTCAAGACATTCTGGTGATGTGACATACTTGCTGTTCAAAAGTAAGCTTTTGTTCACCCGCGTGTTGTAAAACAGCTTGCCTGTCATTACATGCCACAGAAGCTTTCGGCTACCTGTGTGGCGGTAGCAGTGACCTTGCCCGCAGCGACACCAGTGTTGTCCGTCAACTCGTTAAATGCCTCAAGGGACAGATTGAATGTATACGCTGCATCGACAGCGGTGATGTAGATGCTCTCATGTGTCCCAGTAGGAGTGGTGTACTGCAAGTTCCAGCAGGTACCACACAGAGTTGAATTCCAAGTGAGGTTGGGAATACCCCCAATGTTGGGGAAAGACGGAAGAGAGCCGAAAGTGGTGTAGCCTTTTGTCAACAGGCCATTGACACCGTTAGAGCAAGCGACATTGGAGAGGGAAGTGGCCGAATTATCATAGAAGTTGTCGTAGGTCACTTCGACCTGCGTTGCAAAAGCAGGAAGAGCAAAGACGGAGAGAAGAACGACAGCGGAGGAAAGCTTCATTGTGCAGACGAGTGGTTTGAAGACTGACTTGTTAATGACTGACCTCTGGATATTGGCCAGGCTTTATAGTCCGTGCCCATTGACAAATAGCACGCACGCAGCCAGAATTTGAGCCTGGCTTACCTGCGCATCAGGATAAAATGCAGCTAGACCGCAAAGGATGGAGGTCAGTAGTGGCCTCAAGTGCCCGATGACAGTTGTTAATTCTCGTGCCTGCAAACCTGTGAGACGAGGCAGGACACATAACGGGACGTTTAAAACCCAAATACGGTGACCAAGGTGCTGGAGACGACGGCATTATGGGCATTTACATAACACCATCATTGGCTGCGCAGGCGTCTTCGACAGTGCCATCTGCTGTTTTGTCAGTATGTTGCCATGTACTTTTCACGAATGAGCGCAAAATATGGAGAGCGACCACATGACCCGCGCCGAGAACACAACTAACTCTATGCAGGACAATTCAGCCGTCAGCAAGTGACAGTGCACGTGTGTAGCTTACGTGCGGTGGCCATGTCTGCATTGATATATGCCTTTCAGTCATCAGCCAATGAACCAACCACACCATAAGTCTGCAGCAACCCTATCAAGACCTGCGAATGGACATCGCCAATTAACTCTGACATGGACAAATAGCGCTGTGCTGGTCGGACATGTGGCATGTTTCAAGGCCGTGTTTGAGATTGCCAGCGCCACTGATGAATGGAAGACAGCGCAAGACATGAAAATAAACCTGCTCAAAAGCATCTGGCGGTAAACTGATGAGCCTCGAAATCGAGATTTGTTGATGAATATGCATTACGAGTTCAAACTTGCCTCTGGTATTCTTTCTCATCGTGATTTTGCAACGCACCTGAGTCATAGACGTCTATTATTTTGGAAGGTGACTGAAAACGGACAAGTTCTGATATTTTGGGCTTCAAGCTTCGCCTTTCACCGCGAGCGACCAAGCTTCACCCCTGGCCTCACACAGATTTTGCACCAGCGTCATCAGCCTTCACCTACTTCTGCATAGCATCACCTTGTAGACCGCATCCAAATGAGAATATGAGATGAGGTAGACGAGCAAGAGAGTTGGCAGGAACCTTGTTGGCGACAATATTGACCGCGTTGAGCAACTTCACTGCATCAGGGTCAGAAAGACCACCTACACGACAAAAATATCAGTTTAGGATGGGACGGGCAGGAGAGAGCAATGAATGTCTTGCCTGAAAGGAAGATGATGCCTTCAACTGCGACAGGGACTGGACGAGCAAGGATTATAGCGGTGGCCGAGCCACTCTCTTCAGTTGGCGTGGTAGAATGCGAAGAGTACTTGAGGCTGGGTTGCGGAAAGGAAGGCTTAATAGAAGAACTTGCGTGAACAATTCAATTACTCGCGGCTGAACTCCTCAAAGGCCAGAAGTAGTTCTTACCCTCCAGCAGTACGCCATATGCAGTGCATCTCGCATAAAACATACCGATTATCCTCACGTGGACCCCAATGCTCTTCCTGAGTTTCGCGTCTTCAGCGAAGTCAACATCAGGCTCCACAATGGTCAGACCAGCTTGTTAACTAATAGCGGCACAGTGAGCAAGAATTTAGCCTGGACTTCGAGATCAACCTGAGTGGGTGGGGATGACGAATTGCAGAGGATCGGGGCACGCCATTTGCTGAAACGGGCTCCTCTTCCTCCTCCTCCTCCTCCTCCTCCTCCTCCTCCTCCTCCTCCTCCTCCTCCTCCTGCCGCTTGTAGACAAAGCAGAAGGTCGCCAAGACCCTGAGTAGCAAATTCTAAAAAATCAGAAGAGAATGCGTGTCCATGTCAGCACGAATGCCGGGAATGATGCCCCTGTTCGAAAGCCCAGGGCCAGCTGGAAGTCAAGAAGGGTCTCGTGGTATAAGATGACATCCGAGATATATTCTGTGTACTTTATCAGTCTGATAAGCTGAGAATTTTATGATAGACGCCAATACTTGCCAGTGGGAAGAGATTCGTACAGCTCTCCGCTTTCGAAATTTCATACTCAGTAACTCTGTTAAAACGCCTGTTTTTCATCAGGGTGCTCGGCAAGTGCGCGAAATAATGCAGAGTGGGTTATTTTGGCTTTCCGAGTGTCATGGAGCCTCGAAAAGTGAAGTTGTTAAGAGAAATTCAATGTGTAATTGTTGTAAGGAGGAAGTGTTGCTTGAAGCTGCAACCTTGCAAGCCTGAACTTGCAAAAGATTACAATTCAGTAGAATTTAGTACAAGGAACTAACTGTATCAGTGGCTGTGACCTCGCTGCTCAGCCTATTCATGTTCGCAATCAACCACTTCCGACTAACTGCATTGGCCCGCAGAACACCGTGTATACGTTCCTACTCAAAAAAGTCCCCAGTCATTCGACCAACTCCGAGTCAAAATCAGAGCTCCGAGCAAGATGATGGAGACTTCCGTCCACCATGGGTGTACTCTGCGTCCCACATCCTCACCTACACCCTGATACCCAGTGAATTTTCGCGCTCTCACAGTTCGCTGATGACCATAGTAAACTTATTCATAATGATTAGCTGCTATAGTCTATTGTGTCTTCCTTGCTGATTGGGGCGAGCGGGAACATGTCTTCTCGCCAGTACGTGTCTCATCTAGATTTTTTTTTAGCTCGTCTTACCTGTGATCTTTCAGGTGCGCAGATGGACAATGAAATACAAGGAATCTTTTCTCTCTCTTTCTCCAGACGAAGCTTCCTTGATTGAGGAGTCACAACCGCCAACAACCACAGAACTGCCGGTTACAAGAGGAATTCAGGCAGAAGGCCGTCCTTCATGAGAGACGTGTCTTCAACTTGCCGAAGGATGCAGTTCGTTTGCCTTTGAATTTCAAGACCCTGCCTAGTACTGGCCATATGTTTAGAAGCCACCCTGTGGTAGTAGTATCTTCGGTAGACGAAAGATAAAGGTGTTATCACTCTTCCCAAGAATGCACTTAAGTTCGCGAGAGGAACGATGACCAGGCGGATAATAGAGTGCGGTTTGATGGATGAGTTTAGCGTCGTCGGTGGCTGAATTTATTTGCAAACCTTGATGCGAAAAACTGTGCAGCACACGGAACCATGCAAACGGCGAGCACTCCAGCGGCTCCTTACCATCCAACACATCCTCCAATACAAAATGGGTACCAGCCCCTCACAGGTACGGACAAATGTGCTGGATAATCGACTGCATATTTATGCGTAACCTAATGACAGAATCTGAAATTTATGCCATCAAACGACAGTACTTGGGACTGCTTCCTCCACCACAGATAATAGATATCTGCCTTACATTTGAGGCTCATGCACCCCTCCATGTAAAAAGTACTGTGTGGCCGTATGATATTCGAGCTGCAATTGCAGCAATCCAGGCCCAAAATGCACAGATCTCTCAGCATGCACCAGCTCAACAATTGAGCCCTCCAGTGGACTCTGGGGATCAATCTAAATCTACATCACCGCCAAAGGATTCACCTTCAGACACAGGAGATAAAACTGCTCCATCCTCTTCTGAGCAACCACCGGTGCCCTCTGTAACACATGACCTGGCCTCTGGTAGTGCTACACCTCATCCGTCTGTGGCAGCTCACCCACACCCACCACCACAGTCCCTTCCGCACTATCCACATCAACCCTATTACCATCCTTCCTACCCACATGCTCCGTACTATCCTGCGCCACCCCAAGCACACTACAATTTTCCCCATCCATATCCCCCTTACCCTCACCCACCTCCGGGTCAATACCAACCAAACCCGCCTCCACCACCTCCGCCAAGTCACGCACCATCGTTGTTCACGAGTGCACCTTTAGCACATCCTTCAGAACCACCCTCATCATCAAATAACGTCGATGACCTCCCCAGTTACGAAGAAATGATTGTAGAGGCGCTGATAGATTTTGGGGACCCAGAGGGGTGTGCACCAAAGGCCCTCTTTAGTTGGATGGCGTCACATTACCCGTTACAGTCAAATTTTAGGCCTTCAGCTAGTCAGGCCCTCCAAAAAGCCTTCAAACGCGGACGTCTAGAAAAGGGGAATAATGGTAAATACAGATTGAATGTCAACTGGGAAGGTGGGAATGTAAGCACAACACTTTGATTCTTGTTGCAACTTTTAACGATGTTATCCATCAGACTTCCAAGAGAACTACTCGTCGTCCGCAGACTCACGCTCAAACTGCATTGTCTGCCCATCAGGGACATACATCATCACCTTTCACTCATATTCCCCTTGTCCATGACGCGGATGCCAGTACACCATCGTCTCAGCCACATGCTTCCACACAAGGACAACCTGGCCATCCTTATAGCTTCGGTTATCCAGGGTCGTCAACGTCTGTGGCAAATCATCACCCTCAGCCTGCTCCGTCGGAAACACAAACTGCCGAAAGCCAGGTTCGGGAAGGCAGCGATGCTTGGGAAGCGGCCCAAAATATACTCAAAGCCATAAATTTCGGACAATTGTTTCAGATCTCCAACGAGGATGGAGTGCCAATACATGCAGATTCTGCGACGATGGCTCAAGTGCCACCTTCAGTATTTGCCGGTTCTGCCGAGGTATCGTCGACATTCGGTAGCCAACCAGTTTCGACGATTGCGAGCACATCTCTGCCATCTCGTAATACCGAGACCTTATTACGCACTGAGTTGAACAGCGATGAAAGGGCAGCGCTGCAGGCTGAGCTTGCCCTCTTAGCTGCTCAGTTGGCGGAGTTTGCAGATGTGGGCGAGGACGAGCTAGCCCAAGACCTCAACCCTCCCAGAAGCATGGAAGAGGGTTATGTTTCCGCTGCGACTGCAAAATCACACGATTCTCATGATTCCGCTCTACCTCCTGCGGATCAGATATCGAATAGTGACGATGACGATGACGACGACGACATGGACATGGTTGAAGTACACGTACCAATGGCGTCGCTAATAGCGTAATTATTCTTTATGTTTTCGATGTGCCTGAGGGAAATATTGATGATACCGTAGTTTGAATGATTCAATGATTTTCCTTCCGCACTATTAGTGCTAATACTCGCGATAATCCCTTTCTTTGAGGCTCTGAGAGGATGTTCCGTGCCAGTCGGGGTTCTCCGACACTTCGACCATACGGAGGTATGAACTTTCCCCTGAACATGTAATTAGGCCTTCCGATCTATCGATGATTTCATCTAACTTATCAGGTGTTACGCACTGTGGGCTTTGCGTGATCATAAGCAATCCTTGGCTGGCATGACGACACATTTGTGTGACCCGGAGAAAGTCGAGGCTCGCCGTTCAATAAGTTATACAGTGTCGTTCCTCGATTTTTCGAGTTGTTCTTGGCAACCCAAACCAATGAATACTTATGTGAAGAACAGCCAGACTCCCTCATCGTCCAACCCGTCCTCTCGTCAGTCCGCAAAGGTCCGTAATTGATCAACGTCACTGAGTTTAATTGCGCACAGGTGTGTTACTGATTATGTGTAGATGTGATTGAATATTGAAGACTATGTCCTGTTCCCAGCGACTTAATGACGCCTGTTGTTGTCGTACTGTACTCGAAATGGTAACGCCGTTCATCCAAGGGTGCGTGGTTCCAGGTGCTTTCACTATGCAAACACCGCAAACTTGCACCACCCCCATTTGTGTTACTGAACTGCAGCTTAATTTGTTTATTTGGTGCCGCATTTCATCTGACGGCCCACGGCTTCCAGCGCAGCGGTTCAAGGGACCGATAGCATCGATCATCAGGTCGATCACGCTTGTCCCGTGAACCATGTGGTCTGCTTACGATTGGCCGCGGCATTCACATATTCACTGGTACGGTTTTCTCCGTCGGATGCTCGACGTATTGACCAGACTCTAGATCAGGACTGCTTTCAACGGCAAAGTTCCTCAGTAATTCTTGTGAGCTCCACCAAATCTTGGAGATGCTCATCTGCCAAGTGTCGACGTCATGACACCGTCGAACGGTGCAGGCTGCAGGAGATGGTTGTCCAGTGTCAACTAGTGAATATTTCAAGTACATTGGAGTGGGCTATGCTCGAAGACTATGCTATCGAAGGACAACAAAGACCTGGCCTATGCTACTGCCTCCAGCTGCTCTAACAACGCTCGCTCGGCTAAACCCGGCCCAAACACCGCCAAACCTCTCTCTACTGTCACCCTCTGCCTAGGGGTCCCCTACTCCAACATTCGTGTTGTTCTAAAAGAATACTCGATCTGGTCCGTCGGCCGAGAGCCGTATAATTTATTGGTGGCCGAAGAACAATCTTGCCTTGCGCAACTCTAAACGATCGATAGCATACTACCGACAGCATGGCGCAGGGTTGTCACAAGGCAAGGAGCTGCAGTCAATAAGAAGTGTTTCGACCGATCGTGAGGTGAATTCTTGAATTATTTCTAGACTTCGAAGCTTGCTGCTTCCGTTTACTGCAACGCAACCTGCCAGTCAGCAGGGACATAAGAGATCCGACATTACATAGTAACAAGCAGTCTTTTTTCATGAGTGCACCATCTAACGCGAACGATCCGTTGCGAGCTGAGCTAGATAGGCTCCAACAAATGCTTGAAGAAAATCGGGCAAGATGTGCTGAAGCTAAAATACGACTGGAGGCGAGAGCTGCTGCTGAAAAGGACGGTGAAGGAGGATGGGACCAATTTTATGCGGAGATACGGGGAAAACTTCATAGCCTGATGGAGGATTCGCGCGAGAATAGGACATCCCGTAAGCTGAAACGCTTCAGTCTCCTGGATCTTTATCTCTGATATCGAGTAGATACATCGATGGAAGTTCTCTTGGAAGCATCTCGGCAAGCTCATCACGAGTCGCTGGCTGCTATCGAGGCTTTCGCAGAGGGTAAAGCAGGCCCATACATTTATGTCACCAAATGCTGATCATCAAGATGATGCGACATTCAGAGCACCAGACGCAACGAGAAGCTGAGCACGAAGAATTATGGCGCCTGGTAGGGGAGATCAATCAAAGTAAATGATACCATGTTCGCAATCATGCATACCACAAACCTGACAAATATTTCCATTGCGAAATTACGAAACGGTCCAAAATGCATGAACATACAATTGAGTGGATTGGTACAAAAAGGCAGTCACAAATGCCGAAAGTAAGCTCGTACACGCCGCGTCATTTAAAAGTCATTAATTGATCTTCAACAATTCAACCTCAAATTTCAAGGTCGAGTGCGGTGGAATGACGGGCGGAAATCCGCGTGATCCATAGGCCTGAGATAATGTCAGACCGGGACTTGATCTTCATGAGATATTCACCCACATAATCAGAAGAGGCTATCAAGTTGGCCTTCTGGCCGAGCGATAGTTGCGGCACGCCTAATCAATCATTGAATATTGAGCAGCAAAAGATGCAGGGAAGTCACAGACCTTCATCCCATCCCTTGATCACCTTACCGACGCCTATTTGTGTCACAAAAGGATCTTTACTATGGAGGAATGATCGTCAGCTATAATCATGGACAAGAGGTGCGATGCTTGCCGATCTCTGCTCGAATCAAAGACAGTGCCATTTTCTAGTGTGCCAACATAGTGAATTGTAACCGTGTCTGTCGCGATCTTAGTTGAAACGTGATTCGGAGATACTGTACATACCACCCCGTTTGGGGAACGTTTTGCCGTCACCAGGAGTAATTGTCTCAATACTGACGCCCTGTTTCGAGTCATTAGCGATAGAGGAGAATAATGGCGGAGATGCCGCGCGCTCACCATTGTACACGGTGACACGTACCAGGTGCGGGGAGATAGATATGATAGGGATTTGTGGCAACACTTATAGTGGCGGGAAGGCGGAGTGCGGATCTTGATCCGAATCTGGTAATCCGCTACAGTCGATAACATTCAATGAACCGGATTGAACCCAATACAAGTGTTGCAGGAACGTTATCGATATCGGTTCAACATCAAGACCCTATGATCCAAATGATCAGCGCTCACCCCCCGGCGGTACACGGAGTCTGATTTCCAGCGCACGTCTCCCTTGATTTTCATTCGTATCTTCCCATGAAGCTCAGCCATGGGGAGCTGGTTGAGCGCCATCGAAACCATCGATCATAATCAAAGATGAAGGTCAAAGTGCCACAAGTACGAACTGAGAAAGAATTTGAATTCTAGCAAGCCAAGTCATCGGTCAAGAGTCGAGACCGCCGTACCTGTGCATAGGTCCCGACTTGTCTTATGCGGGGGCAGATAAACGTTCAGAGATATTACCTTTACACAGGGGGGAAGGAAATCTCTTTTCCTGTTCGTGGATACTCCTTGATTTATAGGTACGACAAACTACCCCGAAGCAACGAGGTGGGGCGATGGTTCCGATGTCCGAGCTGCATGCACAAAATTCAAATCAAAACAAGGGCAGAAAAAATATTATTTCTGTTAAACATCATCTCGTGATGAAAGACAGGACAAATTATCCCCAATCCACTTTGCCGATAATTCCCAATATACAAACTCTTCTGCTGGATTGAACAGCGAAGAAATCGGATAGTGGTCGTCTCTAACAGGTTGTTGTAGGGCCAGCCAGTTACCGAACAGAGTGGAAACGACGCATGGAATAATTCATGCGAAGTATGAGACTTTGTTATAAGATCTGTCATTGCATCGAAAGCGACCGTTGACCTTTCAGCCACAAATATTATGGACAACAGTACATTTTCTTGCCAAGACCACGAACTTGTGGCTAAGAGGTGCGGATGCTTGCATACATATAGGTAGTCGCAGATCATAAGTTGTCGGAATACGGCCCGGCGAGTGGTATTTGACAGAGATGACGCGCCAGTTGAAAACAAGTGAAGACTGTATGGTGAGCTAGTAGTGCCACTGGGTATGATATGGATAATGAATCTGCTTGCACGAAAGAAAACACTAGGCCGAGGATCAACTGGCCACATCCTGCGGCAGACTCGCTGTGGTGCCTGTTGAAGCAAAAATTCAGAACTTCAACTACATCTATTCTCGAAAACCATGTCTCACGGGAACTCCAAGCTTTAAAGCCGCAGGCGTGGGAGAGCTGTAATGCTGCACTGAACATTCGACTTGAAATTGGCTTGGTTTTTAGAACATAGCTGGGTGTTTTTAGGTTGGAGTCCAGCTGCAGCTGTAGACGCCAGTCACGATGGATGTGCCATGCTCGAAGATAACTACAATACAGGTAGCAGCGTCGTCACATCACCGAGCTGCAGGTGGGTGGAATTCCATGTTGTCCCCGAGCGTTGATGAGTGCCGACTATAAACATTGCAGAATCTATCGCAATCACAGTAAGTATATCATTGGCTTGAGATCTAGAGGGAGCACGAAACGTTGACAATTAATATCGATAGAAATCATACTATGCGGACACAGACTTGAAGGCCTCTGATGCGGTCAGCCTGCGTTGAAATTGGCTGAGAAAGAAGAAACGAAAAAGTCATATATGATAACACGCTCGATGAAGTTCTAACACCATACCGGATCGTCCGGAGTCCTTCGGCCACGTTGATACTAATCGATCCTCACGCGTCGCCCGGTTACCTGTAAGTAAGATTTTCACCAGGATATTTAGATTAAGACGGAGACAAGGCTTACTATCGTTCAGTGCTTAACACTGTTCTCGTGCTCACACAGAAGTCAGGTACTCCTCCAGTACTCTGTTACCATGCCGCCCCTAGAGTTCCCTAGTTTCAGGCACCTCGCCGAGCTCAAATTTAACTAGCCATTCATGACTGATCTATGATATTTCTGGTAAGAAAATTTCCGCCCACGGCCACATGAGAATTGACCGCACATCCGCCGTCATAAGCCATCGTCTGGTCGGCTTCCGGTGTCCTGTGACGCAACGCCGGCGGGAAACATGTGTTCCTACTTTTAGCGGGTACTACTATATGCTCAAGCTGACTTACAGGTGTCGCCTGAAACTTTCCTAGGCACCGAAACGAATGAAATGACTCGGAAACGGCAATCTCATTGAAATATTAATCCAAAAAGAACGCGGCGTCTGAGTATTCAGATTCTTAAGCGGCAACTGTTTACCGTCTTTTCAGCATTCATCTTAGTCCATTGTTGTCGCATCTAGATGCATCAGCTGTAAACTATCAACTGTAGAACTCTTGATCTTGATCTTCCGGCAGGTTTTCAGTGCCGGACGAAATCACGCTGCAGCAAATCCACTCAAGGTAAATATTGCCTTAAATGTCCTGTGACTCTAGTATTTCTAGTATCATAGATGGTGTTTCCGGTCGTCGGCAAGTACCCGCGATTCATATTCCCAGTATCTTAGATTTTGACTTACCTCAAACCGTCAACCCCACGCTGAAAGAGGTTGTATTCGGCGATCACCGCAGTGGGTGAGTCATCGCCTCGTGAATGTATCATTGGTCCTCGTCCATGCTGTCGCACATCCCAGCAGGGTAGTCACTGGTCATGCACACGATCACCGGATACCTCAGGCTATGTAGCGTCATTCCGCGACGTAGTAGCAAACGCAAGGATCGGTCTTTGATTGTCGTGTTCTGGCATGTCGCTGGGTATTGATGCATCTGTCTAGCTTGTCATACTACTTGTGAGTACTAAGGGTCAGGCAGGATGTACGTGCCTTCTCGTCACATTATCCTGACAGAAGTTTCCTGTTGCTATATTGGATCTCCCCTCAGCCCGGATCCCAAATAAGCCTCAGAGAAATAACCACATGTGTATGTACAAGTGTATCTCATGGTCTCTTCCTACAGTCGCTATGCAATTAGTCTGCCCGATAACGTTTTAGGTTGTGCACTTCCTTACCCACAATGCGCACAGCGCTGTGCGACTGTAATTCCTCGCGTGCTAGTGAAGTCTAACTGTACAGGTCACACGTCGCGATGCTCCTTACGGCCAAGTCAAAAACTATGGGATAAAAAAATTCGAATTAGCCTTGGGCACGTACAGCAAAGTTGAGTTTCTTCAGGCTAGCTGGATGCCGGGATACGTCAGAGTATGTCACACACACGAAAGCACCCTTATGTAAAGAAGGGAGACCCTTCACCCGAGACTAGTCAGTGTGGCGTAAACATGCTGATTTTTAAGTTTCCCCGCATTTGCACAGCAATCATCGACATGCA